AGAACAACTTTGTTGGACTCATACCTTGTCCAGACATGAACGTAACTAATTATGAACACAATTTGCAACCATTTTGCATAGAAGAGGTTCTTGGTACTCAGCCTAATCTAACACAATGGAGACGTTGGAAAAAAAGATTGAGATGGCTCAAAGAAATTACTATTGTTACTGCAGCGTATTTCACAGGAAGTTCTAGATTTTGCGTCTGTACGATGATGTTTGCATTCAGCTAGAGAGCTAGGCTAAATTCAGGCGCTGTCTATAGGAGAATTCAAGCTAGTGGTGCGCTGGTAGGTATTTCTTCGTGATTTCTCCAATCAGTACTAATGGATTGCCGAAGTAATATCTTAACTAACGGACCATCGACAAGGTGGGATGTTTTCATTCTTATCCATGTCCCCTAATCTCTCGTTATGCACACTTACACTTACAAACACTCCACTAATGCACATGTAGGAAGACCTGTCGAGAGCTTAGATCAATTCGAGGCATTCGTGACTTGTTGATCGAAAAACACACACAAAACTACTAATTCGGAAAACCGACCGCTAAAATGTTCCTCCAGACAGTGGTTGAACTCGATCCAGGTTAATGATTGATATTGAAAAAACAAAACGTTATCTTCATTGCCCCCGCTAACCAAAGACGTGTAATTTAAAATCAGTCGTAATGTAAGTGGTCTTAATTTCAAAAATAGGTAGTGACTTTTCTTCCAGCTTCCTACTGATGTTACTTATATAGCTCAACCTCTGATATTGCCCCTTACTTCTAATTACCAGACGATGATGTCAACACCACAGCTACAGGTCCAGAGGCACACTACCAGAACCTTCTTATTTTTGTTAGAAAGAAGAATAGAAATATTTGTACACGAAACATTTTAACTTCGAGAAAAAGTACGTCAATTTAAAAAAATATATATTTGTTATCAGCAAAAATCATTCAAGATTAAAATACCAATGAATTGAAAATATGACGAAGTATTGCAAATTTTTAAACGAAAGGCTAGTAATTTATGCTGTGTGGTAAAGTGGATTGTGCATCATTATGGTATTAGACATGTTTGAAAAAATGTATACTTCTGTAATTTTGGAAATTTCAGTTTTTCAACCCAGTGCGTAAGTGCACCAAACAATTTTTTCTTTAATATACAAGAGGTTATCGTTTTGTTTACTATTATTTTTTAATAATGCTATATTTTGTTTTCTTAATATTTTGTACTAGGGTCTGAGTTGACAGTTTAGATGATTTATTGACCAACAATGAAGTTCAATTTTATTTCGGACATTAAAGTAAATTTTTAAATGTACGATTTTTAATTGGAGGCACCTACAAAATGTCAGTTTTGCAGCAAACAAATTTCTTCAATTAAGTAACAAGAATAACTATTCATTCCATTAAATTATTTATTCGTAAATATTTTGTGATTGTTCATGGTGAGCTGACGCCGTAGTGGTCTGGAGAGGATCATCAAGATAGACCAAGACAAAGAGACTTTTCTTTCTCAGACGTTTGCGTATCGAAGATTGACTGCGTCAAACGTGCGAGTATCAATTGTCTTGATGCATCCAATGCTGCCAGTGTTGTTATTTCGCCTTAGTTGGTGAAGTTACGGGCGCGGAAGATGGATGACCCCTTACGCGTGGAAACATTGTAATTGAGACACTGTCACTTGATGTTAGTATCTCATATTCATAAAGGGAGTACTTACACAGGTTAATATAACAGTTGAAAAGCTCTAAGGGAGGGAGAATTCATCTGAAATTAACGCTCCTGGAGGCAAGGAAGAGGCATCTGTCTTTAAGGCTATACGAGATAACGGAAGACTAACTAGTAAGACATATTTTTTTAGTGCTTAAAATATTAGAACACTTTTGAAACAAAACATAGACATGTGCATTACATCTAAAAATTTGTCGTGTACAGTAGATAATGAAACGCTAATTTTCAATTTCATTACAAATTTCTTACTGTCAAAACGAGGATAAAATGTACATTTACTGTGCAGAAACCAAAGAAGGGACCATCTTAGTATCGCTATGAATCAAGAAAGACTACACAAAAACCTTATTGAGATGGGGATCCTACGCCTAGACGTTACAATATTATTTAAAAAATAATTATAATTTCAATATATCAATAATAATATATCAATAATGATTATAATTTCTGTATATTGTTGGAATTTTTAATCATGCAGGAAACAAAAATGATGTCACAATTTAACAATGGCAAAGTGAGCTAAGAGCGGTTAATAAATAATATTCAATAGATTCAACCTACTGCATTAAAATTGTATCGCTATCATCACATACTTTGAAGCAAACCACGTGTAAACAGCATGGAAATACTTAAGCCGCACCTCTACGAATTGGTGCTGTCTCCTGCTCACCATTAGGAGCGTTGAGGTCGCACTGGATGAAAAAAATCATAGGGATTTTCGAAACTGTTGTAGTAAACTTTGATATTTCTATACCTCAAATAAAATGAAGTTTATTGGACTTTTAATTCTTATCGGTTATCATACTTTGATACAAATTGGCACATTTTCAATTGATGAAGACAAAGAAGTTCGGAAAAGGTAAAGTTGTAAAGAAAAGGTGATGAGCAGAAATTTATTTTGAGGAATAAAATAAATTTACATTTTGGGGAAAGAAAGTTTAGATACAAATTATATATATTCCAAATTCATTCCCAATATTTAGCATTAATTTATTATCATTATTTAATTGTTCAAATATGAGACACGCAGCGGGAGCGACGCCCTGATTGGGAATTTTGGATTACCCTCTGTATTGCAATGGGCATTCCTGCTGCCCACTGCATTACGTGCGGCGTCTGCGTGATTCGCACCCGCCATTATTTGCAACTCCCGACTGCCTCTCTCAGTACACAACGGATACCGCCATAAAAGTGACTTGGTTCTGTTCAAGCCACGCCGGCCCCAATAACTACCCTTGCCTCTTGCCTTTCCCGGGGGAAGATAGTGTCCACAATAAATGCATTAGGTAGACGAGCGCCCAACATCTACAGCTCCCGTGTGTTTTGACACGCAAAGTTTTCCCGAAGCTGTTAAAATCAGTAAATTTTACCAATAGCCCTAGGATAAGGAACTTTTTAACATACTATGACACGTCGCAGTAACAGGGCCAGACAGAGGCGCACCTAGGTTGCAGTGCACGGTGCCACAAGCTCCAAATTGCTCAAAAAATTCAGCCATGGTGATGGTGTAACGGTTAGCGTATCGGACTGATGTGCCCATCAAACATATTTAAACCCGACCGAAGCCGTGGATTTTTGAGGGCGAAAAAATCCTTCGTACGCCTTTCTTCATAGTAGAAGTAAAGCCAGCTGTCCCACGTTAGTAGATTTACTGGATGTAAAAGATCCTCAAGCCTAATACAGACTCAGAGCTAAATTCAAATCGCCTGTTTTGTCGCCTCCGCTAAACGGTGAATGTAGCGTAGCAAACATTTGCGTGGTCAGACGGACGAGCAAGCGTGATGGTCTGAGTCTCGCCACGTAAAATACGGCGTCAATTCAATTCAAACTCAATTCAAATTGATTCAAAATTCACCTCAGTTACACGACTCGCTCACTTAGCTGCATTCCCCCACCCTATTCGTTCACGATATTACAAGTTATGAGGACGCATTCACGCGTCTAATGGAAGCGTGACGCGTGTTTTTCCCACCGCCAAGCACCACTCCCGCACGTTGATGATATTAATGTCTTGTTCGGGCAGACTAACAAAACGTGCGTAGACTGCCATTAGTTTATTCTCAGAGAAATAAATGCTTCACGAACGGTGTCTCTAACTAGCCGTAGCATTAGCGTAGACAAATCATTTCTGTCTTATCCACTTAGTGTCAAGAGTGCACATCCTCTTCGCAAATGTTCATCACTCTTTTGAAATATGTCTCAAATTCTAGATCAAGACGGGTGGCTTTAGATTTATTGAATTTGGAAGTTCTCGAAAGTTTGGTCGAAGAGTTTCAGTGAGAGGGTGAGCGCCCTTGCAGAACTCACGGTTGGTCCTGTTATCTGAGCCATCTATCGTCATTCTATCACTTAGTCTGCGTCACCTGCCTTTTATACAAGACAACTATTACCGGCCAGGAAACAAGCTTAACTTGTCTTGTATTAATTAAGTTAGTTTCCATCTTTAAAAGAATGAAGTAATACAAAGAACGACTGTTAGCCTTTGCGTTGTGTAAGAATAGTTAAGGAGGATAATATTGAAAGATGTTAAGGAAATGAACAAATGAGTCTGCACGAGTTAATCACTATGTAGCGTTGAGCTGGCGTCAAAAACACACGAATTTCCTCATCAGACAATGCTGGTTGAGTACAGCTTCACATCATCTATAAACCAGTGCTGAGAAAATCTCAAATATCTCTAGAGCCGGAGTAACAAGGTCAAAGCCAGCCCCTCACTCGACGCTCAATATCTGTACGTGAGTGGTTTCGAGATCTGTCATATGTTACATGTATACGTCCAACTTCAAGTGAATATTGTATTGACGTGTGATTTGAATGCGGTCTTTACCTGTAAACACATCTAGAGGAATATTTGCATAAGTTCCCCGAGGGTTTATACTCCTAAGTAAACAGGTGTACCTGAATTGATCTTCATTCCGTGGAAAACGTATTTGAGCTACTATATACACAATAACCCTTGAAAGAGCAAATTATCACGTCCCTGATTATTTTAACGTTTCGATTGAATTCCGCAAGTGAATTGTTTGCCGTAATCTTAAGTACTTTAAATTGGATGAACTGAAACAGGCAGTGAATATTTTTATTGTAGTGATTTTGATAGCGCTAATATCTGCTGCAGAACCGAAAGTACAAAGCCGAAATGTACCTACTCCGGTACATCTTTTGGCCAGATGGCGTCGCTGGTTCGTTTCTCTGGAAGCAGTTCCAGGGACGAGGTTCTCTCAGCAGTTCGGCAGGTGACCTTTTGTTTCAAGCAGAAATGAGATTTGACTCGCGGGATGGCGCGAGTTGCAGCGCGAATATGTCCATATTGGGAGGTGGACCTTGTTGAATCACAGGCCTTTGATTGTCATGCTCTAATAATGGTTCATGGTTGTCGCCAGAGGGAGGAAGCATCTGCCTCAGAGACCATGATTCTTGGTTGCGTTTCTCGGCGGTATTCTGGGTACAGAAGGTAGGTGGTGCTAAGCCGCTGGTTTCTCGGGTATGCCTCGGTGACACTAGTTAGGTTACTACCCGCCTACCCTGGGGGAGGATTGGGAATGTGGCTACGACCTCAAACTCACCTTCAAAGGAGTCTAACGGGAGAATTGACATCATCCACTGAGCTTTCTCGACTTTCGGTGGTACTAACGTCGTAAGTGTCGTGTGCGCAATGAGGGAACAGGCTGTAGGCTTCGACCGAGTCTTGGCCCAGGTTACCCCCAGTTGGCATCGTTGGTTTCGGGGTGGCAGGTCCTACCCAAACTTAATTAGGGATATTTCTCTATAGCACTGCGTGACCACATATGCGGCTGGCAACGTGACGGAGCATTAGTGTAGATTAGGTTTGCGCACATGTGCGGAAGTTGACTTTAAGGCACGAATTTAATGTCTATGATAATTTGAAAAAATCGTGAAGCGGTTTACGGGAAACGGTTTAATTTTAAACGAGCAGCTGGAACATTTGCATGCGACAGTTTGCACGGCGAGGCCCGCCTCGATAGTAGAAGTGAGACCGCTGATTCTGGGAGATCTGAAGGATATGAATGTGCGTTGGAGAAATGATAAGGTGCTAAAGAATAAACGAACGTACATTTATATTAGTCTTTTAAATAACTTCTCAGAATGCTCATTTTATGAAAGACATTCTGACAAAGTGCTTAATAGAAAAAACATGTTTCATTCGAACTTACAATGTTGTGAATGGCATCAGAAAACGGGTATTTATTTCAACTTGAACGTTCAGGCGAATTCAAAACACAAATACAAACTCTTGTCTAATCAGTATTGATGCTGTGCTTGATATGCTTTCGCTTGTGGAAAATATTACTCACAACAAACATAATTTCATATTTATTTTGCATCTTTCAAAGTTCTGACTTTGTTGATAGAGCAGTCTATTTGCAACTGGAAGTATTGGTGATGCCAGAATTTGTAAATTTACATTATCAGAAATAAAATATGTGCTGTATATTTTCTCATGAGGTATCGCGACTAAAGCATTACTGCGCATCGCAGAGCCAGCCTTTGTCGGCTTACGAGCCAGAACCTCTGTCCCTGGTACGTGAGCGCACCAAAAATATAGAAGTTTACTCAATGAGATACGAAAAATGAAGTTAAATTATCATTATTGGGATTCAAAACAAGTGTAATTTAAAATCAGCAACTTGTATCCAGTGTTGCAAAGACCGGCAGATACTGAAAACTGGACCCATTGATCGAGGATGAGTGATGTGGAAAAGCAACAGTGGTTGGGCGAGCCAGCCGACCGTATTATGATTAAAGTTATATTTATTATGAGCTGGCATTGCAAAAATTGGTGGTGGTGATGGTAGTGGGGGTAGGAGGAGGACGAGGGAGAGGACGAGGAATAAAAACTATATTAGTAATTATAGTAATAGAAATAAACATATTAGTTATAATAGTAATAGAAATAAAATAATATTTTAATGTAATTTTGGACAATGTGAAATAACTGCAAATTTACTGCACGTTTATAACATCATTACGCTCGACATTTCCTGTACTTAACTGTATTTTTTACTTGTTTCCTTTTGAATAATAACTCTGTCAACACTATACCACGGTCACCATCACTCATAGACTGTTTGTGTTGTTGTCATATGATCTTGTTCGTATCATTTGGCAGGGAGTTACATGTTCATAAACACACATATGTAGTGTTTAGGAAGCGCAAACTACCTCGCACTCAATCTCGCTTAGTTCATCGCGCAGTTCCCTCTAATGTATTATGTAAAACGGATAAAACCCTCGTACATTCGCAAATGCATCAAACACAAAGCTTGAAAGAGATGTATTTTACAGGCTCTTCTTTCATTCGTATTAAAGATACAACATTTTAACAACTTACAACGTTTTAATTTATTGGTGATTCTAGTTGTTCTTCCATCTTTATGGTTTAGGCACAAGCCAGGGTAGTTCTTAAACCATCGATTTGGGATCCAATGAGTATTAGTAGTATAAAGCACCTTGCGGTCCGAAGCTTTCATACCGCCCGTTAGAGGGTTTCTTAATGCATCATCTATAGATAGTATTAATGGTAGTCGTGTACTATTAGAATAGTTGTATTCTAATAACTCTTATTAAGAAATTGATCTTAATGTCGTCAAGTTTCATTTTAACAACTGGATAAATATATTTAAGAAATAAAAGATTTCAAATAGCATAGTGGGATTCATTTTTAAATCTTCGAATTCCGGGTCCAAAGACCTCACATGTTAAGCACCGTGGGGTACGAATCACTGTTGCCGCGCTCTAGAGGGAATCATAATGTGTCATCAGTAGATAGTAGTTAATAGTTGTAGCTTATTATGAAACGAAATTACTGGTAGTAATGTCGTAATGTTCGAAAATACTGAATCGTAATGTATCAATAGTAGTTAACATTTGTAGCAAATTATTAAAAAAATGATTCTTACGAAGCGACACTGCCCTTATTATGAAACTGATCATAACATCGTAAAGTTGAACTGTATTATATATTTAAATATATTTAAAAAGTAAAAGATTATCATGACGCATCGTGGGACTTAATATTTAAATTTTTCAGATCTAATGAGAAGAGATATGAAGCACCTTGCGGTCCGATGCCTTGGCGGCGCACTCTACAGGTAATCGTAATGTATCATCAGTAGATAGTAGTTAATTGTTGTATATTATTACAAAATTAAATTACTGTTAATACGAAACTGATCATAATTATATATTTAAAAATTAAAAGATTTTGAATCCGCATAGTGGGACTTCACTTCTAAGCTTTCGGACCCCACGCGCACAGGTAGGAATCACCTTGCGGTCCGAAGCCCTGATCCCGCCCTCCAGAGGGGATCATAATGCAGGGCGAGCGTCGGGGGGTGGGCGGTGCAGTGGCGGGTGGTGCGGGCGCGACGGCGCGGGCTGCGGCGGCTCGGAGCCACCGCTGCGAGAGGCGCGTCGGCGCAGCGCGGCAGTGCGCGCGCTCCAGCTGCCAGTGCCGCCGCCGGCGCCGCCGCAGCCGCAGCCCCCAGCATCCGCCGCGGATCCGGACTCGCCTCGTCTCGACTCTCGCTTCGCCTCGCCCCGCGTCGCGTCGCGTCACCCCGCGCGCCGCTGACGATCGCCCGCGCTTCCGACGTTGCGCCCGCGGTTTCGCCGACGGCTCCGCTCCGCCCCGCTCCGCGCTGCCCCGCCCCCGCCCGCTCTCTCCGCCCCGCGCCGCCTCGCCCCGCCCGGCAAGGTAGGTCGCTGCCACGGAGCGTGTTTTGCCGGCACCTGCCCGCCGCGCGCTGTTTTTTCTGCCGGCGACTGCGTCTGTGTGTGGGTGTGTGCGAGATGTGCGGTGTGATGAGGGTGCTCGTGCGAGAACGGCCGTCTGTGCTGGGGCCACGTTCGCCCGACGACCTGTTGTAGGGCTTGTGCTTCAGGACGGAGGGATTCTGTGGGACGGGAAAAAAAGCGTTTCCCAAGCGGTCAATGCAAATTAGGATTATTCACGCTTGAGCATCAAGCGGGATTCTTTGCGTGACAACTATTCTCTCATTACACAAAATTTATTTAATAATAAACTCACAACTTGTTGAATATATCTAATACGTGTGTTATACGAATATCTCATATTGTGCCCCATACTAAATTTATTGTTAAGATATATGATGTTAGTAACAATACTATTTCAGCAATTTGAAAGAAATAGTTCCTTGTCCAATTTATCAAGCGTTTTAGTCTGCGGTAAAATGTGAGTTGAAAGTTTGCATATTGTTCTAACAAAACTTTGCGTTAATGCATCTGACATGCCAGGGATCTAAAATGTTGGTCGTTATTAAATAATATATCAATTTACCAACAATTTTAGAGAACGTTACTTTAAATTAGAGACTCTTTTATTTCTGGCTAAACGTTTAAAGAAGAAAAGTGTCTTGATTGTGTCACATTTGAATCTAAATAGAGTCGTTAGTTGTGAGATTAAAAACTATCGGAATTTCATTTGCATTTCATCACGGTGGAAATAAAGTCGCACTTCGTCTCAAGATCATAGTCATGATGAAGTGTGGAGAAATATTAATGGACTTTATGATATATTTTATTATATTAATGGAAAATGTAATGAATTCTACCATAACAATTTCCTATAAATATGTTTATGGAAATCATTTCCACGCTTTATCCATTTCTGATGTGAAATCTTTAGTTTCTAGTTACATTTTAGTTTTTAAACACTTCGAGTATTTACGATAAAATATTAGATTATTTAAAACAGTATATTTTAACAATTGTGAATTATTGCGTTAAACATAGGTATAATCTGTCATTGCAGGATAAAAAAATAAAGAATATAACGATGCAGAACATTTTGTAGTGACCTCGTGTTTGTTCAAACAGTTTTGTGCTTACAGGTGGGCGTTGTGTTCAAATATAATGTATTTGTTTGACAATCAAAGAACAAAGGATATGACGGGAAGCGAATATCTGTTCAACGATGCGCATGATTTCTGTCGGTAACACCTCAATGAATTTTAATCGACATCAATATTTGAATTCTGTGAAAACCGGCAAACGCTTTTGGGTCTTGTTAACTGTGAAGTAATATCTGCTTGAAACTTCCAATAAAAAAGCAAATTCTGTTTTTGGTTGTGATATCACTTAACACACATTTTTATTATTTCATTTTCAATTCTTTCAAATACAAAGGTGACAATTTTTTACCTCTATTAAGTGAGCGAAAATTAATTCTTTACCAAGGCGTTAACTATTAGCAGTTGTAATAACGGGTGATACTTTCACTATTTTATATTACCGTGACGAACGTATTACGAAATCATTGTGTCAAAATGTGGCTTTTCTCGGCTTTTGTTCAGGTAGACGAGGAATACGGTACTTAAATAAAATATGGGCGATATAGTATATTCACTTGTTTTACGGTCACAACGTCTACTGCTTAGTAACCTGACCTAATATAATACACATGAGTATGAGCACAGGATAATTATTGAATTTACATATTTTACATTATTAATTTTTGTATTATACATGTTGATAACAAGTGTCAATGTAAGAAAATTGATAAATCATGATGTGACAATTATAAAATGGGTGAAATAAATATTCGGTATAGTTGAATATATTGTTCATTAGATATTAGAATCTAATTCAATTTATAAGAGTACGAAATATAGACATTGATTTCATCTAACAACTATTAACAGATTTTTCAAGGAGATCATACGCTTTCTTGCTCTTTCTGAAATTTGTACCAACCAATATTTTTATAGAAAGTTGATTTGTGTGAATTGAAACTAGAGATGTTGCTTCTTAATTAATGCGTTTCTTACAAAGTGGCGTATTAAGATTTGGCCAGATCAAGCATATTATTATATTTTAATAATACCAAGGACAAGAAATGCAAGAATATTACCCTTCTTCATATAGGGTATATGAAGAACTGTGTTTAATTTGCATTATCTCTAATGATTTCTGTTTGTATTTTGTTCAATTATAATTATAATCTCAGGACAAAAGTGCGAGATCTAGACATATTAATGTGATAGTGTTGTAAATATTCAGACACCAGTAAAGTGTTTCGAATTGCCATTCCAAATATCTTCGAAAATGTATGTTGATATAATTTTCAGATTGATGTGATGATTTTTGAATTTCGAAAGAGTGCAAAAGTGGTGAAATCAACTAACATTTTTTACAACTGTCAAATGGTTTTGAAATCCTTGTTACAGATAGCTGAATATCTATATTTTGCCGGTTAGTGTTTTCAGTGTAACTACTAAGTGAGAATACCAATAAACTGTTTTCATTGTTCAAAGAGTAGTTCAATTGTGTTAACGTTTTTGTGGAGAAAAACAATGGATTGATTTCTCATTAAAGTTTTCATGGCTATCGAAATGTCTTCAAGATTACTTTTTCTCAAATTCTCATGTCAAATTATATGGTGTTGGGAAAACACTTCGATCGGTACATGATTCGATATAAATTATTCTCGTGTACATAATCGATTCATTGGAAAAAAGCCTCCGTACGACTTAAGCACAGTTGCATGCCTTCCAAAGATGTAAATTTGATATCGGGCATTTTAAAATATTACTACGTTAAGAACCCGCGACCAATGGTATTAGTACAAGTCTCACTCACAGATGTATTCCATGAAACACACGTATATTAGAAGTGTTAACTGAATAGGCAGTCTGACCATTGAATTATTGGTTATTTATACCAATAAAATCATTAATGGAAAGTGAAACACATAATTGAGAGAAAAATATGCTTATAATTTTTATTGTTTTTTATACAGGGTTCTGCATTAGCATCTTCGTTTCACAAACTTATTTCACCATTTCTAATCAATTGCGTAGGTGGTTTGATGAACTTGTTTTACACACGAGGGAAAAGGAGTTCCTATTCTTATTATTTTATACGCCATCCTAGTTGGCGAATATATTTTCGTCTGCAATGCCGTTCTTTGTACTCTGCTTTGGCAAATGTTGTAGGTGTTTTGTTTAAAACTGAAACAATTAAAGATAGTATGCCACGTCCAGTAAGCCCTACAACAGCCGTCACAACAGAAATGACCAATAATGCGATTGTTTTCGTTGCAGACAATTGAAAAATTAAAGTAACCATGATTCTTTGGCGTTTCAAGGGTGCAAGTGTATTTGACGTGTACAACTCCATTCTACAACTGACATGGAAATTTAACGTATGATGTATTTATATAACTTGAGTGACTTAGAATTTAATGTAATAGCAAAACTGTTCCTAAACTAAATTTTTCACCGTGTTGCGGATTCAGTTTACATTTACATAACCAGTGTTATATGCATCTGTTGTACCAGCTCCAATTACTCATCATTACAATTTGTTATAAAATCGAATTACTAGCATACGAGATTTTAAAGACTGGATTTATGAAAAATAATAATGTTTTGAATGTCATTGATTGGTACTATTTCTCAATAATGATAGACATTTACTTAGTATTATGCGATGTTTTTATAACTTCCTTAATTTTTCAAAATTCATTTTAGTTGCATTGACTTTATCAGAATTCTCCTTATTGAATAATTGTGTCTCATAATTAGTCATATCTTTTTTTAATTTGCCAAATTCTAGTTGTAAATAATGGTTGCTTTGTGTATTAAGTATAAATATAACACCAAAATGGTCGCTATATAATTATAATAATGAATAAGAAGTTTAATCAAAACTAATAAGACCTAGAAAAGTATTAAACTTGGCTTCACACGTATTTCCTAAGTGGTACAGCGTGGGCTTGGGCACATTATTTCCCTTTGGCAAATAGGTGCAAAGTTTTCTTACATTAAATCAGTAGGTGGTTTCAATGTATCAGTAGTCCATTTATAGAGTGTTTGACACCAACTAACTTTCGTGGCAATAAATGAAATGTTGATGAATTCATTTCGTATCAGTTCTAGTCACTCGATTTGCTCCCTCCCACGCCCACTTGTTCTCGAAATATAAACATTTCCCAGCTGGTCAAACATTTGGGAGTAACTGAAATAGCTCAGAACGACAACTGTAGTCACTGCGATGGTGTCCCGACTGTGGTGAATTTCGGACCGTGAAAAGTATTTCCTTTTTTTATCACCCTGGTTGATTGATTGTT